CCCTTGCCTCCTTCTCCCACCTGTTTATGAATTCCCGGAGCTGTTCCCCCTTCCGGATCTTCACATTGAGCAGATGCGAGAAGGGGAGCTTCTGTCTTCGGCTGGATGCGAAGTGCTCCAAGAACTTGTGGGCCAGGTCGCTCCACTTATCTATCGACCCTTTGGGTAACTTGTGGAACCATTCACAAGCCTGCCCTTCTAGTGTTGCCAGGAAACATCTACACTTGATCTCTTCCGGGTACGCGTACATGAGCACGTTAGCCCCGAAGCGGGCGAGGTGGTCCTGGGGATCAGTCGTCCCGTTGTACGCCTTGATTTGGGGAGTTTTGAAATTATCCGGGAGAGGACAAGACATTATCCTCCTGGAGAAGGGTGTTACCTCGCTGAAGACCGCCTGGCGGTAGGGGTTCTGGGCGTCCAGCCGCTTCTCAAGTTGCTCGTACATTCTCCACAGCTCGGCTGCGCCTTTGCCTTCGACCGTCGTCCGTCGCTCCTCGGGATTGATCTTGGAGGTCGCTGTGGACTCCCCCCTTTTCTCCTTGAGCGCATCCCTCAAGTCGCCCTTTCGGGCCGACCGAGTGTCCTGCAACCATTCGAACGCAGAGGTCCGAGGCTTCTTTGACTTGGGGTCTCCCAAACGGTCAAAGGCAGACATCTGCTCAAAGGAGGACGACTCGTCCTCTTCGTCCAACCTGGAAAGCGCATCCGCCATCACGACTTTCCCATTAGGCTTGGTCGCCTTCTTCTTCTGGGATCGCCTTACTTTCTTCTTTTTCCCTTGGGAGCCCGCGGGTCCAGCCTTCCCGCCTGTGGGTCCCCCAGCCACTTCTTCTACCACAACCTCGCGGTTGGGTGCAAGTGCGACCAGCACCTCTTTGAATTGTTCGGCCGTGATTCCAACCCTCTGAATGAGGGCCTCAGCCTCTCCGGTGGTGATGGGAGGGTTCCGACCTCCAGTGGTGTTGTTCTCTCCCTGTTGGGGAACTCCGGTACCCACATTAGCGTTACTGCGTGTTTGCACCATCGTCTTAATGGAGGGTTTCCTCTGAGTATGATTCTCGAACTCTCAACGAGAGCACCAATTTGATGGACAATAAATCCACCAAATGATCCGATTCACGAAGCGGATCGTAAGAACAAAATTCAGAACGAGAATTCGAGAATTGGGTATGTATTATTAGCTTGATCTAGCTTGAATTT